TTTTTATTATCATTGCCTTGACAAATGTTTTCCCATCAGTTCGCATGCACTTCACAGTTTTAATCTTCCTTGAAAAGAGCATTCGCCTTGCTTTTCTCGACTGACCTTTGCTCCCCTGTTTTTTAAAACTTGTATAATCATAAATCGTTTTGGAATTTACTTTTGGATATTGAGAAGGATCTGCATTCCAAGCACTAGAAGGTGTGGGAATCTCCGAACTGTCCATGCTTGTTTGAAAAACATACTCGGTATTTACCTGGCTTAATCTCTTCTTTAAGAGTTCCTTGTTTTCTTGGAGAGGTTTTAGCCTTTCAATAAGCTCTTCTTTCGTTCCTGTTGCTTTCAATCTTAACTCCAATGATATTTGCTTCATATCCTCCACCTTCCATTTTGTTAAGTCAGCGTTTTTGTTTTGTAAATCCATCGCTGTTTTGTTGGCTTTAATCTGGCCTTTACTCTGTTCTTTTTTCTCGATAGACGACTTCGAAGATCCAACTCCTTGTTTGTTCTTCAACATTATTTCTCAATTTCTTTCAAAAAGCACTACATTTAAACTTACTTTGACAAAGAACACTAAAGGGCTTGGCAAACTCGAGAAAATTTGTCCGCCTCGTTCCCAGTCTCTTTCGACATGAAACCCGGCAATGTTTTATATATTTTGTTGTTTTTGTCGCAATACGAATCTCGTCCGCCGTCCGCGGTCCGCGTTTTTTTCTATCTTCTAGCTATCATTCTTATCTGATCTTCTAGTGACTGTTTCAAGACAATGCAAGTGTTGTCTATAGTGGAAGTCGGTTATTATATCACGCATTTTTGTCCAGCAGCTTCTGACTCGCACGAAATAATTAAATATATGATAAAGATAATTAATTGTTCATCATTTTCCTGTGACAATTTGGATAGTTTATCAAAGATATTATGACGGGTTTGTACAGAATATACAAAATGAGTGTATATAACTTCAACTGTTCAATAAATTGTGATAATTAAGCATTAGCAAATTAAGCATTATTTTTTGCGCTCCTCAACTGTATTATATATTATATTTAGCTCTTTAGTCCGACTCGAAGTCTGACTCGAAGTCCAACTCGAAGTCCARCTCGAAGTCCAACTCGAACTCGAACTCGAATTCCAACTCGAGGGTTTATGTCTCCCATAAAGAACAGAACTTAGGCATGGACACGTAAAAGTATAGAATGCCAGAACTTTATTAGGAGGCAAAATAATTGTCCCAACAGATGCAGACGTATAATTTTCAAAAATGAACTTTAAATATAATGTTATCAGGTTCAAACAATAAGGTGGATGCACTTAATTCCTCAGATATAAGTACTGAAAGATAAAAATTATGCATGTGCTTAATTATGCTATAGTTTTCTATTCTATTTTGTCTAGCAAGTGTTTTGCAAATTTTTACTTGGCAGACACATTCTTGCCTGGGAAACTTGATATATGCACTTTAACCAATAAATTTACAAATTTACAAAGCAAGTACTAACAATGACATTGACTTCATAATAAGACAGATAACAAAAACATTTAAATAATGATAATAATAAATAAGTTTAATCATACCCTTTGCATTATAACTGAATTACAGGTTAGTGGTCGATGATAATAAATTTAAAAATACGTAGACAATTCAACAGATATTGTAAAAGGATTTTATTTCAGCTCATATAAGAGTGCAAATTATGCAAAGTTACAAGGTACGCAATAAATACTAGATGAAAATAGAAGCATTAGACCATTGCAAGAATGACCTCTTTACCTTAGAAGTAGAGCCTCCTCTCAATACACGATAGAAGAAATGGTAATTCTACAGTTTGGTGAAATAACTCAGAAATAATCAAAGAAAATGAACATTATGACAATCAAGGACTACATTGAAATCACATTAAGTTAAAAACGTAATCAACATGCCTGTAGGCTGGCTTACAAATTTTCATACTGCGGATCTTAGCACAGGTATAA